CTCTAATAGAACCAATGTAGATACTACAAATACTCAAACTACTATAACTCTTCAAAGGGGTAGGAGTAAAGGAAAGACTAAAGTAACAAGTGAAACTCCTACCAACATCAATTCTGAAACAAATAATGCTGGCACTTCCAACTCTAATAGAACCAATGTAGATACTACAAATACTCAAACTACTATAACTCTTCAAAGGGGTAGGAGTAAAGGAAAGACTAAAGTAACAAGTGAAACTCCTACCAACATCAATTCTGAAACAAATAATGCTGGCACTTCCAACTCTAATAGAACCAATGTAGATACTACAAATACTCAAACTACTATAACTCTTCAAAGGGGTAGGAGTAAAGGAAAGATTAATGTAACAAGCGAAACACCTACCAATACCAATTCTGAAACAAATAATGTCGGCACTTCTAATTCTAACGGAACCAATGTAGATACTACAAATACTCAGTCCACTACAACCCTTCGAAGGGGAGAGATTAATGTAACAAATGAAGCACCTGCCAACATCAATTCTGAAGCTACATCAACTACAAATCTTTCAACTGGTCATAGTGTCAAGAGAAAAGTTGGAGATATCCCCAGTGATAGTGATAATGAAAAAAAGGTCCAAACATCTAGAAGGAAGAAGGCCAAGGGGATCACTAATGTAATAACCGGAAGCTCATCAACTGGAAGAAATGCAGTTGATAATGGAGAAGGTTCATCGACTTCTTTAGGAAAAAGAAAGGCAGCCGAAAGTGAAGATGGTTCTGAAGGGAAAAGGAAGGCAGCTAAAAATAAAGATGGTTCATCAGTTTCTAAAGGAAAGGGAAAAGAAGCCGTAAATGAAGAAGGTTCATTGACTGCTAAAGGAAAAGGAAAGGCAGTCGAAAATGAAGGATCATCAACTGTTTTAGGAAATGAAAAAGATTCATCAACTTCTAAAGGAAAAGGAAAGGCAGCCGAAAATGAAGGATCATCAAAACGAAAAAAGAGGAAATCTAAATCAAGGAGAAGAAGAAGAGAGAAAAGAGAAGCGAGATTTAGACAAGTTTGTAATAAAGTTAGTATTAATTCATGTAGTTTAATTTAAACTAGGGGGTATATATTTTTATATATTTATATCTAATATATACATATTTTTTTTATTTTAATTTATCACAGAAGACCAAAAAAAGAATTGAACGAGCTATGATCCAACGAATGTATTTGATTGACAAAAAAGAAGTTGACCCAACACGAAGAGAATACGAAGTTTTAGGCCCAACTGGAGATGTATGTAGAATAAATTAATCATGTATAACAAAGTTTTTACCATTAACATTATATTATATTTTTTACTTCTTTACCTTAGGTTTACACCGCTGTGATTTCAAAAACTGTATCATGTTCCTGCCCTGATTACCAGAAAGGTAAATTCAAAATTTTTTACTAATTACAATTGACAAAAAATCTCACAAAATTTTTATTTTGAATTAACCATAATTTTTTTATTTCGTCATATTTTATTAGGATTTCATTGTAAACATATAGTAAGCAAAGAATTTAAATTTTAGATAATGTATCTATATTCATATATTGATAACAATACTTATTTTATTTTTATATTAGCTCTTTGTACTCTTAAAAATTTTGAAAGTAGATCCAAACAGCAACCTTATTTACCAGAAAGCGCTACTAACAAAGGAATTGAGACCTATTTTTGACAAGTCCCCTAGAATTTATTTGGTACAAAAATTTCATTCAATATATATAGATTTTAATTTTTTTTCAAAAAATTATTAATTTATTTATTTTTTCCCTGATGAACAGCCATCCAAAAAAATGGTCAGGCAACTTAAAGAAAAAGTCTCAAGAAAACAACATAAACGTAGACCAATAGATGGCAATTGTCCAATCTGGTATGTTAAATCTTGTAGAACATTTGGGTCAAATGAATCTTCCAAATCAAATCAAATCAATCTAATCTATTACATTACAATAATTAGTTACGAGCCTTTGAAAAATAATGAAAACTTGGTTTGGTGCCAAAGTGGTTGTGGCAACAATATACACCAAGATTGCTTTGCTCGGTGGCAAAGATCAAAACTAGCATTTCGAAAAGTAAAAAATAATATTATAATATTTATAAATTCCCAATTTTTTATTTATTTATATTCATTTTTTAATTAATTTAATTTTTCACAAAAAAAGGTCACTTGTGTATATTGCCGAACTGAATGGAGAGATCTAAACGCAGAAAATAGACATTGTACATAATATTTATTAATTATTTTCTTAATTTAATGCTTTATTTATTTGTATTGGATTTTTTTTAACATTATTTATTTATTTATTTATTTAGATATCTAAACACGCATATATGCGAGTTTATTTTGCATATCATTACAACATGCATTAACGTAAACCATAAATAGTAATAGAATGTATAGAGTCAATGCGCATAAAACAAACGATGATAATATATGCTGTTATAATTTCTGAATCAATCCGTCTCTTTACAATATTAATAATATTAACAGTTTTTATTTGTAAATGTTTGGTTTTCTTTATTGATGAATATAGTTTATTTAAATTACTTTGGGTTTTGAGCATCTTTATGTCGTAAAAGAAAAATGGTTTAAATTTTGATTATTTTACAGCAATTGACGATGATGATTTTGAAACAATAAAATTCTTCAAAACCTTCGTCTCATAAAGTATATGAATCTATTGTAGCTTACGGATACAAAAGTTCATTAATTTTAGATGATGTAAATATTGAAGAAGTTATTATGCATATTATAAGTTTTACTTTATTTTAATATATTTATGGAAATATAATTATATTATAATATTGAAACTTAACTTCGTAAAATTTAAATTTTTTCTACGGTTAGGTCAGTCATTCCATCTTTTATACTGCATTTTCGGAATGCCAATATTCTAAACTCTTTTGTTACTCTTTCTAACTAAATAATTTAAAAAATTATTTATCAATTTATAAATTTTAAGGTATCTAATATATACCCAATATATAAAATAACAATTAAATTTTGAATATAAAATTTTGTATCAATATGTTAAAAAGAAGTTTCAAAAACTTTTCTCATATAAGATCATCACATATAATGATGATGATTGATTTTTTAGAGTCAAATATCAACTTGTTTATTTATACTATATTTCAAGAACGGTGATATATAACATCTGTTATCTATCGTTCTGATTATTTTCCATGTGCTGTATATCGATATACTCTACATAATATATGATTATTTTTGAATAAAAATCTATTCTTAATTTCTGTAATTATTGTTATTATATACAATAATAAACTAATTGTCACGAATTATTACATATTTCATAAAATACTATCTCCAGGGTCCGATTAAATTGCCTTTTACATAATTTATATCTGTAAAAATATAAATTTATATTTAAACGTTATAACATTATAAAAAGGGGTAAGAATATTAGTGAAACAAAGTTAAACCTTACGCACTATAAATGGACAAAAAATGTCATCTAATAAAATATGTAACTCCAACAATTAATTACGAGAAATAAAAAGATTAAATTCTTTAAAATTTAAGATTAAATAAATTCCCGGTTTGCATGCATTTGTACAACAATAATGATTTGCATTGTTTGAAAAAATAAAGCCTAAAAAAGTCAAATATTATATTTTTTTATTTTTATTACAAAGTTTGAGTACAAATAGACAGAAAAGAGTAATACAAGAAAAGATAATAATTTTGGAATTACTCATTTACAAAAATATTAAAACCACGAGGAATTGGCTGCACGAAAAACATGTGCGATTGAGTTTATATTGCCTAAATTTAAGTTTATTGCCAAAGTAGTACATTTGAAGAGGAAAAACAAACATTACAAATTTAACTACTTACACCTGAAACTGCTACTATCAATTCTAGATAATTCTATTACTATTACTGTTCTAAAGTAAAGAATTCTTAGGTAGAAAATTATTCAAGTAATAATGTAATAACAAAATTTATTAAAATGCACATTTATTTTTAACGCACATTCTGATATTACTAATAGTAGATGTTATTATTAGTTGATATAACAATTAATAAGAAAAAAATATATCAATCTATTGTACAGGATTTTATTTATTTTAATTTCGTTCATTTGTAACAAAATCAAATAAAATTTTTTTAATGAAAGTTTTTCCTGACATTTGTGTGTATGTTGAATACATAATCATTTTCTTCATTTTCTAAAGCTTGAATTATTTTTGAGAGTTACGTGATGATGATGGTGTTACTAATCTTGTCAATAGACATCCTCTTTCATGTTCATGTTATGTTGAGCAATTTATGTACAGAGTAAAATTAATAACTCTAATTAAGATAGTGGTGAAAATGCTATGATATATACGATTAGGTTCAATTCAATTGAAAGTCCGACGAGGCGAAACTTCAATTTTCAAAATAAAAAACAAATTACGAGGTGAAAAAGAAATAATAATAATTTGTAATATGCATATCATATTACCTTATCTAATTTCTTTTCATTTTGTTTCTGAGGCGTTATCTGAAATTGACAACCAGTTGTGCACACTATTGGTACCATTTTCATTAATTGCATCTTCTTTGCCATTTCTCCCTACACAAATTGTCGCTCCTTGAGTAGTTTCTATAATAATAAGTAAGTAAAACTTGCGATAGGTTGTAATAAATAAATAAATAGAGATACATTTCCATTTCTAGTAAAAAAAATAAATACCTCCAAAAGGATGTTAATTTTAAATAGAAACCACCGGTCCGTATATGTTGTTGGGATTTTACACTTAAAAATTTCATATATCCTATATGTTTTCACGCTAATAAGGTCCGTAAGGTAAATTGATATAAAATATTCTAAAAATACAAAAGTTAGGTGGGCCTTGTGTTAATCTATTTGTGAAAAATAAAAATAGAAAGGAAAATGCCTACTATATCCGTGAATACTAATTGATTTGACCTTTTTTTGCTGTTTTATAGCTGCCTTGTTGTAATTAATTATCCTGATTTACTGTAATAAAAAATATTTTTGTTGGCAAATATAAAAAAGCAGTATCACCTTTACTACATCTATAATTATATTACCATGTAATTTTGTAAATAGAAATGATATTAATTATTCTTTTATTTTGAATCTCTACACGAATAACAGATGTAAAGTAAAACAACGCTTACCAAAAACTATAGAAATTATTTGTTGAACTTTCTTATATTATATTACCGCCTACCGAAGATGAAGAAAGAATTCCTTTTTCTAGTGTGCTGTGACTATTATCTTCGGTGATAATTTATTTTTATTCAAGTGATAATTCGCATCTCAAAGTTTTTTTTAGGAATAATTTCAATAAAAATAATAAATAATTTTCAGCTTATAAATGGCTGGCTTTGTGCAATTAATTAACCTGAATTAGGAAACTTTTAATTAAAATATTTTGATAAATAATTACCTTGACAAATATAAAAAAAAATCAGCAAAAAAAACGCTTTTCAATTTTCTCAAACTGAAAAATAAAAATAAAACTCAAATAATAATTACGAATAAATTTAATTTAATAAAAAGAATAATTCACTCAAAAATGCGACCAAATAAATTTCCTTCTTTTTGCTCTCCTTGACATATTTTTGTATTATCTTTCTAAAAGTGGTTCAAACTCAAAAGCCTGAAATGGATTGCTGCTCCGAACCATCCGAATATGCCGAAGAAGATCTTAGATTATTAGCGGAATGCTGCATATCAGCAGGAGGAGGAAGTTGCTGTTCCAACGGACGTAAGGTCTACTGCCCAAAGGATACCCTCAATAAATAATTTTATTATACATAATTAATGATTATATTTTTAGTTGTATTGATCCAATATATTCAATATGAATAAATTTCATTATAATATGTAAGATAAATGTTGAAATGAAGTTAATTGTTTACAATTTTAGAAAAACAAATGAGAGGAAGGGAAAGGAATGATAAAAAATGAAAAGGAAGCAAGTAAAATGTTGTATATTTTTTTAATTTATCTAAAGGATGAAAACTAATTTTTAATTTTTAAATTCCTTAAATACAAAAGTCTTTGGACGAAAATCATTAAAATAAAAAGTTAATTTTAACTATTACAGGTCATGCTTTTGCATTGCATTAAAAGTATTTCGTCTGACCTATCAAATGACCCTTCAACGGTTTCGTTCAAATAAAAATTTTTTTTTTACTCCAAGGAAGAAATGAGGCCAAACATCAAAAACACCCAAGCACAAACCATACAACATTTGTGGCATAAGGGAATTAAAAATGCCGCCGAAATACTAATATTCCGAGATCAACACTATATTATAACATAAAAAAATTAAAAAAAAACTGGGAGCACGGCTCATAAAAAACGTTCCGGCCGATCTAAAAAAATTGATGTAATAACTCAAAAGCAATTGGGCCGTACATTAAAAGAAATTCGGCTATTTCTTCCCGAAAGATGTCATCCATATTATTAAAAAAGGGTACCGATGTATGCTACAGTACAATATTGCGGCATTTGAAAGACCACGGCTATGATAAAAAATGTCCTATTGCCACACCGATGCTAACGAGGCAACAAAAAGAAAAACAAATAGAATGGGAACAAAAGCATACAAATGATGATTGGAATCGTACGGTTTTTTCAGACGAAACATCTTTTTTGTTGTTTAGCAACACAGTTCAGTATTGGTATCGAGGTCAGCGGCCAATTCGTCGTATTCCAAAAGACCAAACAGGAATTAATGCATGGGGTGGGTTTTGTAGTTGGGGTAAAACTAGTCTTTTTTGTTTTCGTGATATTATGAATGGTCAATTTTACGTTGAGATAATAAGAACACATCTTCCTGAGATCAAAAGAATGTTGCGCAACAATTGGAGCCTCCAGCAAGACAATGATCCGAAGCACACAAGTCATGTAGCTAAGGAATTCCTGCAAGAAAATATTCCGGCCGTTATGGATTGGCCTTCCAATAGTCCAGACTTAAATCCCATTGAAAATCTATGGGCCATCCTTAAAAGAAACGTAGAAATGCGACAACCACAAAATAATGCGAATTTGGAAAATTTTATGAAGGAGGAATGGGCAAAAATTCCTCAGGACATTATAAAAAATTTAATTAATTCAATGAATGAACGTTGCAAACTTATTATTGAAAAAAAGTGGGAAACGTATCCCTAATTAAAATTTTTTTATAATAAAATATAACTCTGTGTCTATCAAATGAATGTTTTTTCATGTGATTTGGCGGAGCTACGGCATAAAATATTCGTCCAAAGACTTTTGCACCAGGCTTTATATACAGTAAATATAAAATATTTTATTTTAATTTTTTTTAATAAATAAAATATTATAGATCATATTATTTATCTCATGAATTATTGATAATGGTATTGAAACAATTGACGTTAAAAGAATCATTCAGTTCCATATTCCATATTTACTTGTAAAAAATTTCGTGATATTATATTTATTTAATGAAGAGATACTGTACATAAAACTGAATTCGTCAATTATCGAAATTTTGATGTTTTGAGAGATGAACAGGAAAATTGGTTAAGCATTAGAAAAAGAAGATTATCATAAAACTTTATTTGAAATATCAGTTTCTAACTTCATTTACATTTTATAGTATTAATTAATTAAAATTACAGATACATAGCAATATATACAGTAAATTATATCAGTCATTCTATAATATTTTGAACATTAATTTTACAAAAATAAATTTTTGAGTTTCTACTAACTACTAATAATTATGTCTTTAAAATTATTATAATTATTATTATTAAAAATCTTGGAATTAAAATATTTTGAAAATGAAATAAAGTAATAATTAGAATTTATTCGTTCAAAAAATTCTGAAATTGATTTTGATTATTTTGACCTTGACCTGTTCTTTTTTTATTTATTTATTTAAATATTTCTCTTTTTAAACGTGAAAATTCATGTCTATGTCTGAACTTACTCAAAATAGTATTCTGAGAATTCGGTATTGTTAGTCGAGATCGATCACATTCATTGTATTTTTTCATCCATCATTCGCTAATGATTGGCTGCCTTTCTTTGAATTTATTAATATTTTAATTAAAGAGAAAGGACTTAAATTTATCTTGAAGTATTCCATCAAAACTTTTTTCTCAAAAATCATTAGTAATTATGGATTTGATTCATTTGATCTATCTGATCTACACTTCATATTCATTCGCTATCAAATCTCTTCGCTTCGTTAGTAAGATTGATGCAAAATCTATCACTATGAAATTAACATTTTATATTATAAAATAAATATATACATAGATCCTCAAATTGTTTAATTGATAAAGCAGAATTTTGTTTAAATGCATAAAAGCAACAAGAGGAAAAATAAATTTTTAGCATGACAACTTTGAAAATCCAAAAACTTTCTTAAAAAAAAAACACAGCACAACACAACCAGCAGCTTTAAATTTAAAATCTATGCCTATTGTGGATCAGGATTATCACTATCATCTAAAAAAAAAATAATATTTACAGTGTATAAAAAATAATACTCCTGATGACATTGATGTTAGTTGTTCTACAAATTCTACGACCGATATCAAGAGATCAATTCCACCATATCGTTGTTGCTTGCTTTATTGTTGCAGTTGTTATAGTTATTGCAAATATTGTTGTTGTATTTGTTTTTAATAATGTTTAATAACTGCATTTTATTATTGAGTTGCTGTCATTGTCTATCGCTGATAATTTTTCGGAATCTCTATGGGTCTTTTCGTATTGAAATTGAAAATGATTTTTGTGTTGTACATTTTCAGGTATACGTATAACCTTAATTGTCTGATCTATAAATTTTATAAATTGTGTAATACATATCCTGCATGATCCTTAGCGATTTTGAACTTTAACAGCCGAGTGTTAACGCTATATCTCATCAATCCGTAACCCAAATTTCGCTTAAGTGATCTGATTTTTGGCAAAAGTGATTAGCGTTCTCCAAAGGGAACGCAGAAATAATATTATTTTTCTCATTTTGATTATGGTTTCGACTCAATTGAAATTTTTTTGTAGCCGAAAATAGATATCCGAAATAACGGGCAAAAATTGGTAAAAAAAAAAAAAAAAACGGGTTGATCATCGTATGTCGTGTTTTATTACTTACACCATTTATTTTTTAACCAACGGAGCCTCACTCCAGGATGATTTTTACATTGAGAAATAAATATACAATTTATAAAACAATTAATTAAATAAAAGAGCTAGCTAAAATTAAAAGCAATTTACGGCTCGGCCCATCGTTGCCCAGTATACCTGGGAAATTACTTGCACCATTTATCAAATGTCTCATTGTTATTCATTTTCGGATATTGATTCTAAACAATTAAAGTGAAATAAATGATAACGATAAAAACAATATGAAAACAAATATGATTTTTGATTTACGATTGTAATGTTTTATAAACGTACGTAATTTGTTCTTTATCGCCCTTGATTTTTTTTTTAAATTTTAACGTATAATATGTCAACGAAAATCTTTTTTTTATCATTCGTCGCATTATTATTATGCTTACCTTTTGGATCAACTGCACCTTCTGATCACACATACTATCTTTCACTAGGAGATTCGTTTGCTGCAGGCGTTGAACCTATTTCTCCTAATAAATCGATTTCTCCGGCTTTTTCGTACGCAAACGCATTGTATGACCTGTTAAAGAAGAATTATAGTAATTTAAAATTAATAAAATATGGTTGCAGTGGTGAAACGAGTGATGGTCTTATTAATTATAACAAATGTAGTAAGAACCCGAAGTATAGTCAATTAAATCAAGCCATAGATTTTATGAATTCGCACAGAGGCATGGTAAAGTTTGTTACAATTAATATTGGAGTAAATGATTTACATAAATATTGCCATGATAAGGATCTTGATGGGAAATGTGGTTCAAAAGTATTAAAGAATTTATCAAATAATTTAATCGATGTAATAATTCCCAAGTTAAAGGAAGCAGGAGGAGAGGGTGTACAATACGCAGGTTCTACATACTTTCATCGTTTCACGAATGATTTAAATGATCTTTCAGTCAAGATTTATCGTGAGAACGGTTTCAGAGTAGCAGATATTAGATCTGTTTTTGGTACAAATGGTGATCCTTCCGAGTTCAAAAGGAGAGTATGTCTTTACACTAACTCGTGTAATAAATATAATAACTCTCATCCAAATGTTCCAGGTTCACGTGAAATTGGAAATCTTTACCATAAGGAATTAGGTCCATTCAATTAGTAGAACAATATTATTTACTTTTTATTACACAATATATTAATTAACTAGCCAATATAAACATTTTTTTTCAATACTCACTTTCTACTCTACATATATACTTAATAATAATAATAATGTATATCTTTATGATTATCAACATTCATATTAGCTTTCAATTTTTAAATCTTTTAATAAAATTAGATGATTCATGAATTTTTCTTCATAAAATCACTAATTTTATTTCGGTTGGAAATGTGGCTGTGTGGAAATTTTTTGTCTTGACTGTTACAATTTAACTTTTTTTAAGCAAACCCGTTTCAAAATCATCCATTAATAAAATGTAATTAATTATCATGTAATGAAATATTTACAATTCATCTATTCCTGCCGTTAGTGACGAACAGCTCAATTGTGACTCAGATTCATTTAGTTAATGTTGGTTTTAAGCTTAAAACTTTCACCGTTCATATCGATGGCTGATTATTTGTCGTAGATTTGTATCTTCGGGATTTATTTTTTTCCTAACTCACCTTTGTATCTTTTCTCATGAAATCCGAAAGTAAAATAATAAAGTGGTATATAATTGCAATATAATCCTTTCTGTAAAAACGATAATTTGTTTATTTGAAAAAAAATATTATTTTAAATTTCTTTCATCTCTCCGGCTCATAAAGAGCATGTATAAAAAATACACAGAAACGAATAACGACTAAAAAAAACAAAACATTTAAAAATATTTATTTTATAAAAGCAAATGAAAAAATATAAAAATACAGAAATATAATGGTGAATAAAAGTAAAAAGAGAGATTTAATATTATCTGTCTGCTTATAATAAAAATAACAGTTGTCTTAAAATTAAATTTTGTTATCAGTCAGATTTTCATTTGTTTTAATTTTTATTTGTTATCCATTACATTTTTAGCTAATTATTTTAAATTTTGTTTCTACATATTATTTTAATTGAAAGTAACTGAATTAAAAGTAACTGAATCATAAGTAATATTATAATAATCTTGAATAACAGATGTATTATTTTGATTAGAAGAATTTGAATAATTATTAGTTTTTATGCGTCGTATACCACCTAAAGTGGGATTTTTGATAAATTCATTAGGATGTAATGGTAAATTAATTTTGGAGCTAATCTTCAAAGGTTCTTGATATTCGTTTTTATTATTAATATTATTTTTATTTTTATTTTTTTTACTATTATCAACTTAAGCTTTTTAAGCTGACAGATAAATCCGTTATTGAACGCTCCGCTATGCCAATAGCAACCGTATCTGATAAATCAGATACTTAATTTATCGGTCAGGATTCCTGACCAATAAAACTGTTATTATTTGCTACACATCCAATAACTATATATTATTGTACAGTGAGGCATAAAAATTACAGGAGATATTATTGATAATGTTGCATATAATGTCACATCATCAAAAGGTTTCAATAAATCTTTAATTTGTTCTAACAAATCCCATTCACAAGGTTTCAATAATAGATTTTTAAGTTTGCACAACCATTTGAATTATCAGATAATGGTAAAGTTGCACTTAACTATAGCTTTATGTAATTTAAAAAGTCATTGCCATGAATATTTTATCTGATCCACATAAGATCATCCTTGATGTTGTAATTTATTTTTCATTTTCATAATAAAGAGGAATATAAACTCTCCATAGTCTAGTATCAGTAAAAGAAACGTCTCAAGCTTAGAGCAAAATTTTTCCTTGATTACTTCTCTGAGAAAACCAACTTGCTCTGTTTTATCAATTTTGTTGTGGAAACAATTTTTTTTTTACCTTCAACAACAGTTAAAGTAACAATGGGATAGAATAGTTTTTGCATGACCTCAAAAATGACTGTTTAGTCTTCAAGAAAGGAATTTTATGGATAACGGAACGGAACGAGGTTGCTGTATTCAGAGACCAAAAGTTATTTTGCAAGCGAAAGGTGTATTATGAAATCTTTGTGTGTAATTGATCATGTTACAAAACAAATAAGCCAAATATCTTTTTACATGCACATTAAACTATGGACAAATATTTTGATACAACTTCTTTTGAAAGTTAGTCTCATGGAGTCGGTTCATAATATATATATATTATGAACGTTTTACGAGATACAACGTGAAAATTGCCGATCATTGCCGATTTATTTTAGCGGATCTATATACTAATCAAATGTCCGTATAGTAAAATTCAGAGTGAAAAAAGAAAGTTCGCAAACGTTTGGCACTATGCCAATGCAATTGGACAAACTAGAACATACGTACGCCTTTTTTTTTAAAATAGAACTTAACAACAAGGAAGGGAATGACAAATGGATGTTCGGAGAATTTCCAGTTCAAGCTGGACTCATGCGTAGAAGAATACATGCTCATTGGAAAGACTGCTATTCCGATTCCCACGACTTAATTATAAATAAGACGTTTTTCAATTACGTGGTCACTCCAAACGTAACCGCACGCTTTACAATGAAATATCTTACGGTCGCTCGCAGTCTCAGTATCCTTGCAATATGTTTCCTACTAACCAACACAGCTGAAGGTAAAGCTCTCAAAAATACGTATTGCGAACGTTGAATCATTTTTCTGTTCTCATAACCCGATTTTACTTGGATTTGTGTAAATAGCATATCTCGTGCATATATATGCCACCGATGACTCATATGCGAACCCAATTGATACCTGTATACCATACGTAACAAATTGTGACGGCCACGCGACTAAGATATGCGACGGTCAGGAAGCAATCTGCGCCGGTGGCACACTATTGGATTGCGAGGTACCAGATGGCCAGTGGTCTTGTGCTCACGTGAAGAAAACCAATGTCGGCACTGGAGATGTGTATTACGAAACCAACAAAGCTTCGTGTTTTGCATACAAAGGTTATGACAACGGCGGTTGGGAATTTAATCAAGTAGATTGTACTAAATAGGAAGACGCTTTTGCTAGTGACAACAGTAACACATTGTTATTTCTTTTGTACGCTCAGTGAAGAAGATCCCTTTCTATTTTGATTACGACGTCCATTTCATCAGTATATTTTTGCAGCATCACATTTCTTTATTTATACAGTTTCACGCTAACCAGATCTGTATTCAGTTAGCATCTCACCACAAAATAGTGCTCAGTTTTTAAACAATCATGGTTTTATTTATAATAAATGTGTACATATAATTTAATCTCGCTAACATGATGCATTGTCACAATTGATGAAATTGATGAGCTGACCCAGGACTGTTTTCGCATTTTTTTTTTTGTTTTCGACTAGTTGGAACCTTTCTGAATACGCTGAAAAGGGTGGGCAAATACGAATTGTCACCACCATTTTCATAATGACAGCTATTGTTATCATTTTACATGTTTTCAAGTCTTTTCTGTATACTTGTCATCATGTCACCATTGTCACTAGATAACACTAGTTGTTCGCAGGTACTTGTGACAGAACTTGTGACATCTGTTTGAGAGTTTTAAGCTTTTTCATTTCTTTCCTGAATAGTTTTATATATCTGTCACAGGTCAAGTAAAATAAAAGAATCCTGGAAAAAAATTAAAACTTTTATATCCATGAAACTATATACCATATACATATATGAAATATACCTATATAATATCCGTACCCTTGGTGTGAGCTAGCATGAAATGTCAATATATGTTATATACTGTATACGGTATATCCACCTTTGATATATGATCTATATTCATAGAAAAAAAAAATAAAAAAAAGTGGAACTCAACAAATCAGCCTAAGAAACTTGTGACATTTGTGACAGTCATCAAGAACAATTTTTTCGAGCTCAAAATGCCAAGGACCCATCTTCTACTAATTTTTTTGCTTATAACGAACTTATGACAACGAGTAACACTTTATGAACTATACCCGTGCATTGTGCCTACCCCTTCCAGCTTTTTTCGAAGATGATAATCTTGAAATCGATACTTATCAGCATGAGCTCTGCAATGTACACTCCCCGGCCAAAAGTATCCGACCACTTAAAAATTATTAAAAATATTTTTAAAATTCAAATGTTAATTGTG